TAGATTATTTTTTACAGGTATTTGGAGGGGTTTGGGGGAGAGCTCAAGCAAGTCACTGCCTTTACTCCTCCACTTTGGTTCCTCCCCCAATGTACTTCCTAAAGCACAAGTCTAACCATGTTACTACTGCCCTGCTCAAGAACCTTGAGTGATTCCATTACCATTTAAACTCTGGACTAATCTTTCCAAACTTATTTCACATGACTCTCTACCTTTCAGCCAGACTGCCCTAGCTGAAGCATCACCCCCTCAATCTTCCAACCCTACCTCTTTGCCTCTACAAGGCATTCACCCCTCTCTACCTCTGCCTCTTACAAGTCCTAGCTTCCTTCACCATTCAGCTCAAGTGCCACTTCTGGGAAGCCCTGGCCCTCCTACATAGTATTCTTTCTCTCCTCCAGTTGTCATGCATAACACTTCTCTGTGTCTCCATCATAATCTCCCAGCAAGGCAGAAGCTCCTGGATCCTCAGTGCCCAGCACAATGGAATAGACAAGTTGTAAATGCTTGCTGAATTACATTGGTTTGGACTGAGTCAGTAAAATATAACACTACTTTAAAGGCTTCCCTCACATCAGGTGGTTTGCAAGCATGTATTGAAAATATAAAACTCAATGACAGTCGTGACCACAGCAAGATCTCTGAGAATTAACAACAACTTCTGAGATTAAAGATTTCACTGGGTGGTTTGTCAGTGTCATGGAAGACGTTCTGCTTCCACTCCAGGGAGACGATCTCCAAACACTCCTATTTTCACTGTACAAATCATAAAAATCTCTAAAATACAACAAAGCTTTTTCAGTAATGTTAATGATATTAAGTTAATTTAACTGTACACACTAAAAAAACAGTGGAAAAATACATGAAACCCACATTACGACATGACGTCCCACTGAGGTAGTCATATACACACATACACACAAGTGTGTGTCTACACATATATATGTCACATATATACCTATATGTTTACATATACATATATGTCACATGCATATATATGTTATTTTTATATATTTATATATATATATATACAAATACATACATGAGAGAAGGAGGGAGGAGGAAGGAAAGGAGGGACGGGAGAGAGAAAGACAGAAAGAAAGGTAGGGAGGTTACATGCTGCAGACAGATAATAAACTGGGCCCAGAACTGAATATGGGAAACAGGACAGATCAAATTTTGGAAACTTTTTGGTGTTTTAAATAGTCCTAAGTTGCTTATTGCTGTAAAAAACTTTTTAATACCAATGGTATCAAGTCAATCAATAAGCATCGATTAAGCCCTGCCTATGCAACAAGCACTGTACTAGACACTGGGGTCACAAGTACAATCCTTATTCTCAATGAGTTTACATTCTAATGAAGGAGACAACAAATGCGTTTGTAGATAAATACAAAGTTAATAAACACAACATAGTTAAATACAGGGTAGTTTGGAAAGGAAAGCACTAGCAATTAGGGGAATCAGGAAAGACTTCACGAAGATGATGTATGAGCTGCATCTTAAAGGAAGAAAGGAATTCCAAGAGGTGAAGACAGAGAGTGAATTCCAGGCATGGGGTCAGCCGGTGATGTTCTGTCATTTACAACTTCTGGAACTGTGGTCAAGTCAACTGTCCTCTCTGGGCCTCTTTTTCCTCAATGATAAATTGAGGGCATTGTACTAGATGACCTATGAGATCCTTCCCTTTCTAAAGCTACGACAACGAATCTTGGGCCAACATATCAAAGGAACCATCCTCCAAAGAAAAACAGAAAGATATACTGATATAGGGCTCCGCAATGATGACCTGTATATGGCAAACAGCATATATGAAGCCATCATCAAAGATCTATATTACAAGAAAGGGAGGTCAGCTGGTCACAAGAGACATGATGGATAGCTCAACGGCTACGCTGGTAATTTCAACAAGGTCCTCACTGTAGCAAGACAACACTTTCACACTGTAACTGATTCACTATTCCACTCAATAGAACAGATTTTCCAAACATTTTCATCCCACCGCAGAACTCCGATGGGTCCCCTACATCACCCTCTCAGCTAAAAACCTTACTCCATGTTTCACTGAAAAAATTAAGGCCATTAGCCGAGAACTCCCCTTCCTCTCTTCCCCTCTTCTTCATTTTTTATCACTCTCTTTTTAACTCTCTATAGTCAGGCTTCTGACATCATCACTAAAGTGAAATAGCTCTCTCCAAAGTTGTCCACGATCTCTTAACTGCTAAATCTAATTGCCTTTTCGTAATCCTCATCCTTCTTGACCTCTCTGCCACCTCTGACGTTGTCAATTGCTCTCTTCTCCTTGGAACTCTCTTCTCTTTGGGTTGCCATGACCCTGCCTTCTCTAGGTTCTCCTCCTACCCATCTGAATACTTCTCAGTGCTCTTTGCTGGACGTTTATCCATGACATGTTCAATAACCATGGCCCCCATGTCCTGGATCCTGTTCTCTTCTCCTTTTATACTATTTTGCTTGAAAATCTCATCAGCTCCTCTTGATTCGATTATTATCTCTATGCAGATGATTCTCAGATCTATTTATCCAGCCCTAACCTCTGCTGACCTCCAGTTTCACATCTCCAACTGCCTATTACTGGAAATCTCAAATTGGATATCCAATACACATTTTAAACTCAACATATCCGAAACGGAATTATTTATCTTTCTCCCAAGCCCTCCCTTCTTCCTAATTTCCCTATTATTATCAAGAGCACCATTCTCCTCTCAATCACCCAGGCTTGCAGCCTGGGCATCGTCATCAACCCCTCACTCTCTCTCATTCCCCATATCCAATCAGCTGCCAAGCCCTGTTCATTCCACCTTGGTAGTCTCGCTCTCCCATCTCTCCTCTGACACTGCCCCCACCGTAGTACAAGACACTTCATGCCTGCACTATTGCCATGTCCTGCTGGTGGGGCTCCCTGCTTCAAGGCTCTCCCCACTCCAGTCCATCCTCCACTCAGCTATCAAAATGATCTTCCCAAAGATGTCATGACCCTATTCAAGAAGCTACAGTGGTTTCCTATTACTTCCCAGATCAAACAGAAAATCTGCTGTTTGGAGTTCGAATCCATTCTTAAACCCGTCCCTTCCTGGTTTTACAGTCTTCTTATATTTTCCTCCCTTCCACATACTCTATGGTTCAGACACTAGCCTTCTTGCCATTCCTTGCACATGGCACATTATCTCCCTACTGTGCATTTTCTCTGCATGTCAACTAAAATCTCACCTTCTGCAAGAAAGCTTTCCGGCATTCTCCTCCTTAATACCTCTGCTTTCCCTCTGAGACTACCCCCAACTTATAGCTCACTTGTTCCAAGTTGTTTGCATGTTGTTTCCCCTATCATATTGTGAACACCTGGAAAGGAAGGGCTGTTTTGGACTCTCTTTGCAGCCCTAGTGCTTAGCACAGTGCCTGGCACATAGTAGGCACTTAATAAATGATTTCTGACTTCTGTAACTAACAGTTATACAATAATAATACAACAATAACTGGAAGACTATTGCTGTTAAAAAGACAGCCCCTTCTCTCCGAGAAGACTGAGTTCAGTAAAAGGCATTTCCCAAAGGCAGTCTGCCGTTTTTGTGTAGTGTCGGCCTGACATATATGCACTGACGAGCCAGTTCCGCAGGCAGCCCAACCACTCGCATCCCAATGTCTGAACCTCAAACTCCCTTCATTCACTTGGTTTCTGCCTATGGGGATAGCTAGGCCAAACTGTCCCTCACACTCTCCCACCCCACCTCTGCTATTGAGATCCCCACATTTCCTTCAAAACTCTGCTCAAAGGATGCCTTCTACACAAAGCTCTTCCTGATTGCTGCTCCCAGCTGCAAATGAACTCCCTCAAAAAACTTACCTTGTCTTAATTTGTGTAGATTTTACATAATCTTATTTTTATTTCCATGTTATCTCCCCAATAGAATGTAAGCTCCTTGAGGGCAGGGGCTATTTCACTGTTGTCCTTGTGTCCCTAGCACCTCTCACAGTGCCTAGCACAAAATAAGCACTTCAGAAACACTTGACGTGAAGTTAAATGACTTGCTCAGAGTCACACAATCTTGCACATTTTGGAGGAGGGATTCAAGCCCAAGAACCTCCTAACTACAAATCCAACAGTCTTTCCCCACTCCTACCACAGCGTCCTCATGGAGCAAGCTATCTGATTCAGTGTACAAAAGGAACCAGCTCATGTCATTTGCCTTGATTTCAAGCCACTTGTCTGAGGAACTGCTGCAGCACTGGGAAAACTGGCATCGTATTAATTCATGGCTCTCCAGCATGTGCCACTATGGCAGACAATGACGAGGCACACTCGGAGCCATAGGGCATAAAGGTGGGGAGGGGATTGTATTGAGAAAGAAGGAAAGGAGTAAGAAGAGAAGGCGAAGTCCAGAAAAGGAAAACTTAGGAATCACCACAGTTCTGAGTACAGGGGCCTACCTCCCAATCCTGCTAAGCCCTGCAGATACTCACCTAAGCAGGAATAATGCCGATGGGTCTTCTGATACTCTTTCCTTTCACTGTTCTCCCTCTTCCCACTTTTACAGTATCCTTTCCCCTTTACCCAGAAAAGAGGGTAATTTCACGGGTGAGCTAATATGCCAATATTATTTTCCAAAACTGCCCTACAAAGTTTAAAAATTCTCATGAGCAGTTAAGGCACCACACTTCTTTAATTCTTAAAACACTTTGATCTTTTAAAAGCTGTAAATCCTGAGAAACTAAGCCAGTAAGACAGAGCACATACTTTAAGTCTGAAGCATCATTAGGCTGCCTGCATCCTTTTCTCTTCTACATCTCCCATCAGTATGACACAAGTCAGACACCATCTCATTACAATGCCTATTTCATTTAATACAGAAACAATAAAGTCAGGCTATACAAATCTGACTCTTAATTAAATAAACTCTATGCAATAAAAGTCTCATTTCAGTTCCCAGAACACCTATCCCACCCGGATAGTTCGGCTCAGTTTCCTGAAATGGTGTAAGACTTACTATGGAACTTGGAGGCTTCTGGATCATCCACACTAATAGCAATTAACTTCCAATCTGTCTCATTTTCATCGATAAGGGCCAAAACTCCAAGAATCTTCACCTGGATTATGTCGCCACAAGCACGAACCTTCAGAGAAGAATTTCAGCATTAGACAAACATAGGAAGAGCCTACCCAGGTATTTGGAGCGGGTTAATCTTTTTTATACCACAGCTGAGACTTCATCCAAGCATAGAACTGCAGGGGAGGAACTTCTACTACCAGAGTCCATCAGCGCCTTCTCTAAAACTTCAGGTACTAGAGAGCTGCCTGAACCGCTGAGCTGTCAGGTTACATGCCCAAGGTCACCTGGCCAATATGTGTCAGAGACAAGATTTGAGCCTAGGTCTTCCTCACTCTGAGGCCAGTTCTCTATCTACTGTGCTAGGCTATTATCTCCCTATGCCACAGAAAATATTTTTTTTAAAAGACTTTAGACAGAGCAGTGATAAAAAGCTATATGAATTCAAAACAAACCAAAAAAAGGGTGCCTCACAATACCCTTCACAGAATCAAGTGCCTTGGGGACATATTAATGGTCAAGACACTTGATACATATATGATATATCATATATACATATATATACATGATATATCATATATACATATATATACATACATATATACATACGATAATATGTTAAAATGTTGTACTTCCCCTGTTGCCAAAACAGTATGAGGTGATCTTAATGTTTGAACTTTGGAGACTGGATCATGAGAATAGTTAAAGAAAAAGAAAAGTCAATGATCAGCGCCCACAGGTTCTTCCCAGATTTTATTCTGTGAGTCCCATGTGCTGCATATTCACATTCCCCAGATACCCAGTTTAGACAATGCACCTTAAAAGGATGATTCTCTCTCTCTCTTTCTCTCTCTCGGTTCTCCCCATCTCAAGTTAAATAGAGTTTGGTTTAAACTTTTTAATGAACCCATGCAGCTTTCTCAAATATTTTAAAGCCTTTAACAGTGAGCCCAACAGGTCTAAGTTGCTACTGCAGCAATCTTGTCCCTGGTCTTTCACATATAAAGTCAGCCAGGAATCCAATTCAACCCAAAAGGGCAGTAGCTCAAGTCCTGGCCGTGGCACTTGAGATCATATATTTAGAACTGAAAGGGACCATCGAGGTCATCTAGTACAGCCCCCCTCATTTTATAGATGAGGAACTGGGAAACACAGAGGTGAAGCAATTTGTCACACAGTTAGTTAGTAAGGGAAAAAAGATCAGAACCTGGGTCTCCTGGGCCAATACTCTCTACAGTCTAATTTTACTGCAATCAGCTGGGAGACATAACTTTAATGCTTCAGATATTCTGTAGCTCTGTAAAACACTAATTCAATACCCTTCCTAAAATGTGTTACCCAGAATTGAACGTAATACTTCAGAAATGATCTAGCCAGAGCAGAACATCACCAGGTGCCTCTCCCAAGTGGAACGTAAAGAGGTGGCAAGGAAGAGTCTAATGATGGCGGGAATTTGAGGCACTGATACAATTAGACTGGAGGTACAGCAAATGTCTGGTGCCAAGCCTCAAGAGGAAAGAATTATGAGGAAGATCTGTGCTCTTAATGACCATGGCTGCATGGCTGTTGCAGGTCTAACCACAGGTACAAGAATCCTAATTACCTGAGCCATGAACTCACAGCTACTCAGGACACATTTTGGAGTGCCACTAAGACAGCAGCCTCCTCCACCCGATGATTCATGACGCTCCTTCCTCTGATTGGCTGGTTGCTCCCAGAACATCCCTTTCTCAACCCACTCCCTCATCTCTCCACCACCACCCTTCAGTTTCCTTTTATCTGCTTTATTCTCCCATTAGAATGTAAGCTCCTTGAGGGCAGGGACTGTCTTTTTACTTAGACTTGTATTCCCAGTGCTTGGCGCAGTGCCTGGCATATAGTAAGTGCTTAATAAATGATTTTTCTAGCTTTTTTTCTGGCTTTTTCTAGCTTTTTCTGGCTGCCATATAATGCTTGTTATCTCATACTGTTGATTGTAGTCCAGACCGTTTTCAGAACTGCTATTTAGCCAAGCTGTCCTTTCAAACCTAAGTCTAAAAAGTTTTACTTTCATCCCTATTAAATTGCATCTTATTTGTTATGGCCCATTGTTCCAAACTGGTAAGAACTTTCTAGATCCCAATTCTACCATCCAACATGTCAGCTATTCCTCCAATCACTATGCTATCTGTGAATCTAATAAGCATGGAGTCTTATCCTCAATCCTGCTCACCTGAGTCCTCCACTACAGACCAAATGACATCCAATCACACATACACACACACACACACACACACACACACACACACACACGCAAATCAAAACACCCAAAACAATCAACTAGAATTTAACAAAGACCAACCAAAATAAGGAGTAAAATAGAGAAGAAAAAGACTGTCAGTGAAATGTAAAATAATGGGGATAGTTAACATTTATATAGCACTTTAAAGTCTGCAAAGCACTTTATGTGTTCTCATTTTATCCTCATGACGGCCATGTAAAGTAGATGCTTTTATTATTCCCATTTTACAAATGGAAAAACTGAGGCTGAGAGAGGCTATGTGGCTTGCCCAGGGTCACTCAATTAATGTGTAAGCAAGGATGATTCAAACAAAGGCCTTCGTGACTGCAGAATATGTAAATTAGCTAATATACCAGATAAAAGGAATATAAAATGATATCCTAGAAGATATCCATAGAGATGTTGTTTGCTGACATTTGAAAAAATCAAACAAAATCTGAAAATACTAAGGAAATCACAATGCATATAAAGATTGTGAATAATAAATAAAATAAAATAAAAGATTGTGAAGAAGATAGAAAATCATATAAGAAAATTAAGTGAGAATTAAGAGACAAAAAGAAATGGCAATTAAGAAAATACAAGATTTTAGAATTAAAAAAACTTAATCTACAGAAGCAATGAAAAGCAGACTTAAGGAAAATGGAATTGGGAACAATGCAAAGCACTAGAATTATTTTTCAGCTCTCCCTCCTCTCCCATTCCCCACAATCTCTGAATTATCCAAACTTTCTGAAAACACATATACCCAAGTGACAGACCCGGAAGATGGTTTATAAGGCAGTAATCCTGGAATTCCTGACATCCTAGATAAATTAGAAAAAAAAATTCTAGATACTCTTTCAGGAAATCAAAGAAAACTGTCCAGAACTGATAAAAAAAAATAGTGAAATATAAAGGGGTGCTCCTATAAGACTGTCAATTTTGTAGACTGAAAAAGGCAAAGACAAAGTCAAATGCAACTTTTGCTTCAAATTTTTATCTTACAGAGACGATGGAGGCTGTTCTAGGCTCTTTAAGAGCAAGGTAAAAGCTGACTTAGAAAGCTATGAAAATGACTGTTGGGGTTGGCAGCTGACAAATGGCTTGATATCAAGCTCAAATTGAAGTTATATAAAATTATAAATTACAATTATTAATGCAGAAGAGAGAGACTGTATTTAGAATGTGACTATTATGTTTGGATTAACAATAGAATTAAAATAAGAAAATGCAGAAACCCTTTCAGGATAATGACTGAAGACAAGCCAAACCCATCAAAAAACTAAATGCAAATGGGCCACACTCTCCAACAGAATGCAAAAGAATTATATAATGAATAGAAAAGAAGAATCCAAAAATATGCTATCATAAATATTAATTCAAAAAGATTTAAATTAATTGATAATGCAAGGGTAATCAAAGATTTCTGATGTCATAGTAAAATTACAAAAAGTAGGAGTATCTTTAATGATGTAGGACAAAGCTGACCACCAGAAAGTATTGAGAGATGAAGGAAGGCATTATATCATGCTATGCAAAATGAAGAGTATGTCAATCTTAAATAAATATTTATCTGATAATTACATAGCAAAACTCTAAAAGGAAAACTTTGAGGCCTTCAAGGGACCTTAGAAGTTAACAAATCCAACTCATTTTACACATGAAAAATTAAAGTCCAGAATGTTTTTCCAGACAAATGACTTATCACACTGCTATTAAGTTGGAAATTGAACCTAGGTCCTCTAACATTATATCCATCACTCTTTCCACTGCCACTTTTGCTTATGATTATAACCTCTAATAATTTCTCTTATTTTGTTCTCACAGCTAGAAATTCCTCACTATATAAGCAACAATTTAGATCAGGCCTAAACAAGCTGCAGCCTGCCAAAAATGTAGAGGAAAACATCCTCTACATTTTCCCCAGGTCGCCCAAAATCCTTTGGGGAGCCCATGGGCCACTTACAGCTTGCAGGTCACAGGTTGTGCAGACCTGGTTAAGATGATTGATTCTACTGGGAAAAATTCTAGTGTTTCTGTGTTATAAATATGTTATATCTTATTTTTAGATACTTTTGATCTTATTAAGGAAAGGTCCTTCTAGTCCTATGTTTTTTACTATTTTTAACATAAATGGGTGCCATGTTTTGCCAAATCTTCTAAATCTATTGAAACAATCATTTTATTCTTTAATTATTAAAAAAATTTAATTATATAATATAAATAAATATATTGTATTAATAAATTTAATATATTATAATATTGTATTATATATTATATAATAAATTTGAATAAAATTTTTAAATAAATATTTAAATTTAATTATTTTAATAAGAGTCAATAAGAGACTCAAGGCAGGTAGACCAACTAGTGGGCTATTCTAGATGAGAGGTATGAAAAGCCTGAAGGGTTAGAAGCTATATAAGTGAAGAGGGGATGTATTCAAGTGACACTGTGACAGCAGAATTGACAAGATTTGGCAATGAATGGATATGTGGGCTGTGGGATGGAAAAACTTCAAGTATAATTTCAAGATTGTCAACCTGCGTAAAGGGAAAGACAAAGGCGGTACTAGGGATAGAAACAAGGTGGTTTGGAAGAATGTGTTTTGGGGAAAATGTAATGAGTTCCTTTTTGCACATGGTGAGTTTGAGATGCAAACGGGACATTTAGTCAGAGTTGTCTAGTAGGGATGCAGCAAATGAAAAACGAATGAATGAGGATGAGAGAATATTCCAATGACATGATTCTTTAACCTCAATGACAGTATTGCTACTTTGAGCAACAGGAAAAAGCTGTCCAGG